AAACGAATGTTTACCCGTAATGATAGATAAATAAAATTGTTAATACAAATATACACACCTCAATCTAGGTATGTTTATACGCATGTCTACAAAAAAAAGTTCGGTTTAATATTTATAATTCTACGAACAGTCTGTTACATCACACTTTAACCATACATAATTATAAAAAACAACGATGCATGTTTTCGAACATTTATCGATTTATAATAACACAAAAAATCACTTTCAAAAAGACCTTGTAATTGTTTTCTTCGACTTTTAGTTACACACTGTGCATTATCTTTAGTAAAATATATTTTTTAACCGCTTCTCTCTTGTGATAATTTAATTCAAAACGTCGTTATTAATAAAGTCAACAGATGTCATTGTAAAGTTTTTTCAAAATTCGCGCAACTGTTTCTTGTCTATGATGTAAAAGAATACTTTATTGTCCTTCGGAATACGAATTACAAGCCTCCATAAACTATAAAATAATCACTTAATTTCTTTAAATACTATTTCTTTTCTCCTAAACATACACTGCAAAAAAATTAAACAGAAAGTATTGAACTTGGAAGAATATTGGAAAACATGACTATTAATCATAATACAAGATTTTACTATAAATTTAATTTGAATGTTCTTAATAAATAAAATCATTATGTAGACTCTTTCCAAATGGATTTTTATTATTATTTTTTTGCAACCTAAGTTCACTAAAAAAATATCTTCTTAAATTGACGATATCAATAATCATAACAAATTCGTTATACTTTATTTTTCATCTGAAACATTGAATTCTATAACAAAAAGCATTAATCATTATTGTCATCAAAATATGCTCTTTCATACAATTCCAATTATTAACGACTTTTATAGTAAACGATACGAAACGCACGATTTCTTGCAAACTGTAAAATATAATTATTATGCAGTCACGCTAGATTTAGTATAAAAAGTTTCTTTTCACAAAATTTGTATCGTAATAACGAAACATAAAGAACTAATCCCAAGTTGTTCTTGCAAAGAATTAATTATACGTGTATATACTAGAAAAATTAAGTGACATATACAGTATGAATGTGAGTTTATATGTGCCAAGAAGTGTGTGCGTGTGTATGTCTATAAATATATCACATTAACTCAATATAAACAGTATGAATTAATTAAATAGCAAAAGTATATAGTTTACGAAACCAGCTTTACAGTGGAATTATATTAAGTATAAAACCACGATAAGTATATTCGCCGCTGGCACTACGGCGCTTTCTGATCAGGTACTTAACGTGCACTTGATAATACAATACCTTGAAAAAAAGCATTTGTTTTTAAAACAATGTTTTCATTTCGTACAAATGTTCTACACTTTTTTCATTAAATTAACTCATTTATGTTTTGCATTTACAGAATAAATCAATTTCTTTTTATATGATACATTATTTTCAATCATATGTATATTAAATAAAACATGATCATTAATAGAATTTAGCATACACATTATTATATTTATACACACAGAATGACGTTTTATCATAAAAGACTGCTATCTCAATTGGATCATTGTTTACAAGTTACTATATTTTTATTCAACATAAGTATAGTGTGATATTTCTAGTCTATTTAAGGTTTCTCGTTATTAATACTGATTCTGTTTCAATATTGTAAAGGAAAGACACACGTTTAAAATGATCAGTTTCGATTTCATCTTTTTACCACAGCCTCTTTGCCGTTCGAAAATTCAAATGGTTTAAAAATTAGATAAGTAATTTTACTGCTGTGCAAAGCATTTCATGTGAACTGACTACATGAAAAATCACAATCATAAATGAGTTAATAGATTAAACTTTCATTTAAAATAAGTTAAACTATCAACCTTTACATAATGCTTTGACTATGCTACGCAAGTGCCCAAACAATTTTAGTAATTTTTCTTTGCGTTTAGTCTATTTTAAGAAATTATTTACACTGTTTTATTACATTATAAGGGCTAATGCACATAATGATACAAGTTGACATAGACACAAGCCCAATCAAACTTAACTAAAAAGAAATTAATTTTAGGTATAAAATTAATTTCTGTACCAGTCAGACAGTAATTGTTGAGGAAATTGAAGAATGAATTCTCGCGCATGTGACGAAATAAACTGTACCGTTTGTTTTGCAAACTTAATATCAAAATGCACTAACATATTAAAGTAAGCATATTATCCCTTGGTGGATTACTTGCCAACATCAGTGAATTATTAAATTTTTAAAAACGTTTATACAGATTTAAAAACAAAAAAGTAGCACTGTTTATATATTAAAATAGAAAATGAAATAAAGGTTTTCTCAGAATTACACGATTTTTGTATTGATATGCTTTTCATTCTTTTTAAAGCAAAAATTATTTCTTTCATAATTTGTATATAATTTAAAAGTAAAATAACATAAAAAGAATTTTATATATAAATGTCAATTAAAGAACTTTATAAATTTTAACATAAATTATGTAAGTATTTAAATGAAAAAGTTGCGTTTCAAATACAATTATCGTGTAAAATTGAAAAATACCCGTAAAATATGCATTGTGCATTAACATTCTGTAATTACACTTAGTACGTGGATCATCCAAGAAACATGAAATTGATTAATGAACCCAATAATTTAATAAATGAGAACAAATAGTAATCATTATTGCTTTTTCATATAAGGGCAGAAATATCAAATGAACATTAGATATCTAATAAATATTTGTGCTTATAGAAATTCATTTGACTAGTTGGTCATGATCCACTATGCTATTAATAAATTGTCATGACAGTGCCTTATATATACAATCATGGAAGAATGACTTTTATGATATCAACCAGTCGTTAATTGTTCATTGAAGCAAGCAGGTACTGGCTTTCTTGCGGATTAAAAACATACATAAAAATCATATCTTTCATCTAGATCTTTTATGCGTAATGCCATCTTTCTTTTAAAACTTTCCCCTCAATTAATTTTTGCATGAAATTAACTTGCTACATCACAAAGGAACAACATAGTGATGTATATTCTAACATTACTATTAATCTTTCAACAAATAGAACAAAAAGTGAGTTCTGATATCCTTTTTTTTTAATATTTAGCATTAAAGCATTAAACATTAATTCTCATACATGCACACTCTTCAGTATTAAATATGATAACCTTACAAATTATTAAAAAAAAACATGAATTTAATGCTCTCAAATATTAAAACTATAAATGAAATATATAAAAGATAGTATAAAATTAATATGAGAAACATTATATTGCATAAGCACTATACATATATTATGTCCCTTAAATAGTGGTCAACTTTTACTACATCGATATAGTGAAACTTATCGTATTTTAAAAGGAACATGTAGAAAATTCAATGTATTCATCAAATTTGTGAAAGGAAGACATTTGCAGGCAAACTGTTTTAAAGTTAAAATCTTTGTCTCATTCTTTTATCTAGAATGCTAAATGAAATAGCATATAATTAGAATATTAACGACGCTATTAAAAAATAATCAGAATTTCAAATTTTAATTTTATAATATGAAATAATAATTTCATTATCTAAATATATATGAATCAACTGTATAGTACGTAAATAAATGTGGCATTACATTTTCTCATCTTTTAGAACTCATTAAATGAGTCAAAATTTTCAAGGCAAAATAGATTTTCCCTTTTATTACCAATTAATATATCTAACTTAAAATTTGTATACATTTTCTATCTATCACATAAAACACTGTACACGTTTCAAAAACTAATATGCAATATTAACACTTACTTTATACCGTTCGAAAGCCAATACACAATTGTACCACTAAACTAAAATGTTAGACATTTAAAAATATTAAAAAAAAACCGTACAGAAATAAGAGTATCAATACATTAATGACCATTTAAAATTAATTTGGCGTTTTGACATTTACATCAATCCTCTTGAATGATAACGGCAGGTTTTTCAATGTATATTAATGGCTGGTTTTGGATGATCACATGACTTAAAATGGCTTCGTTTGCCAAAGACATTAAATACAGTTTGTATGCTGGACTAGCTTCGGATTACGACTTGAATACGATTTGTGTCTATAACAAGTCGTCATAGATTTAGGCATATGCTGTAGGAGGACCAAATACAGATTAAAATTTTTATCTTTCTACTTTTCTAATAAACAAGAGATATGCGATTACTCACTTGTCGATCCAATTTACATCATTTTATATTTCTTTATACCTACATTATGGTATTTTTAATAGAAACTGTTGTGAAAATTGATATAAGTCAAACACTATAAAAAATAAGTAAAATATATAATTTTACTTAAATCAACGGCAAATTTATCAAATATGAATTTATCTAAACAGAAGTACTAAATTTAATTTGAAATTTAAGAATCATCTATACCAGCTAGAATTATGTATGCTATTGTTACTCCAGTTTGGTTTTGTTAACTTTTTTAATATGTTTAATGTAAATACCAAAAAGATAAAAAAAAGTACCTCTTAGATCAACCTACAGCATGTTCAACAGAACGTAACTAACTCTTAAATATTTTTAAATTCAACATTAGTCACGTCCCATGATCATAAGTAGTTAATAACGTTGTATTATTTCAGGTGACAAGATCAATATGAAACATGTTTCTAAAAGCCTCTCATGGAAGACGTTATGAAAGATATTTTTTGTTGCGAAATTTGACAAATTTATAACATGAATTATATTTCCAAACAAATATTACATAAATGCTGTACCATAAATCCTAAAGAATCTGATATTTTGTTAGTTCTACGTATTTCAATTTTAAAATTTTTATTTTAATAAAATAAGTATATCTACGTGTAAAACTTAAGTTCATATTGAAACTTCCATTAAGAAACAGACTGAAACATGTTTATGTAATGTATACCCAATTTCTGTGAAGCCTTAATGTGGCCAAAATTGTAGTTTTTCAAGCTTCAGTAGATGCTATCAGGGAATTCTTAGGTGTATATGCTGTCGCATTTGGATCCAAATTCGACACTGTACACCCTGGACAGGGACTTTCATTTGAACGCATTTTTGTAGTTGCGACTCGTACTTCATTATTTAATCGAAGCTTAGATGTCGCGCAGGTTGGCGCAGGTCCAAATGTGTCTTGTGGCATCACAGCTAAATCTTGGGCTATTTTTGCTTTTAACATTTCAATTTCCTTCTCTTGAGATCTGATTAAACCTGATTCAACACAATATAATAGTAAACATCTAGAGATATATTGTTACTTATTATACTTAGCATTCTTCTCATTTTATATGTATTTAGTATCACCCAGATACACTTAGTTAATAAAAATGTTAAATATTAATAATTCTGAAACTAATTGTACCTACTTTCTCTGATTTCTAACTGTCGTTTAGCTTCACCAAGTGCAGAAAATAAATCTAGTTTTATACGCGTTTCTGCACTTAAACTGTCTTCCAAATGCGCAGTTTTATCTTGCATCACATTAAGAGCACCACGTAGAAGTTCAGATTCTTTGTGATTTTCTTTTTCTAGTACATTACACCTAAAAAGTTAACAGGTAATATAAAAATTATTCATATATAGTTATCATTTCACAATTGTTACCTTTCTTCTTTTGTTTTAAGTTCTCGTCGCAAGTTCTTAAGATCTTGTTCTATTTGTGTCCTGCGACTTTTACAGGTATCTGTACATTCTTGTCTAATAAGTGGTGGAGGTGGAGGTGGAATCGCTGAACGTGCTTCTTCTGCAGCTCGTCGTGCTCGTCTTTCAGAAACTAAAGACGCTTCGGAAGCAGTGCGTTGTTTTCGCTCTTCTGCAATTCGTTTCTCCAATGAAGATATTGTTTGTTTATCTAATTGACGAGCAGTTACTATTCCATGTAACCTATTAAAAATAAGCATAAGAATATGGATAAAATATTTTCAAAATATATTGGGAGATTAATTTTTCAAGTAAAGTCCCAACAAATGGCAACAGTGTAAAAATGACATTGCTTTACGTACTTGCTTTGCAACTGATCATTATCATGTTGAAGTTGTAGTATATCACTCTTAGCTTGGCGTTCCCCATTTTGCAGAGTACTAATCTGAGAACGAAGTTCCTGTTCCAATTGTCGACTGGATTGAAGATCTGATTTCAAACGTTTTATGTCAGCTTCAAGCCTGCGACACATCAGTAACCTATTTAAACGATATTATATTATACTAAAGAAAAATCTGATCATTTAATAATTGTGTATCTTTTAATCTTCGAAACAGATATAATAAATACATACGTTTTCGAAAAATTACAAAAAAATAACAAGAATACAGATACACACAGTACTAAATTATAATTTCCTGTAAGTGTAAATGAATAGAAAAAGTACCGAAAATATAATACATACAATATTTTTATTAAATTACTTCATCAAATAAAGTAATCAATATACCTCTGACAATATTCATCTTGCTGCTTTTGTTGTTCAGTTACGTTATCAGCTGTAACTTTAATCTGACGTGTTTTACGTTCGCGTTGGGTATTTACAGTGGATGATGATTCTCGATTTTCTTTTATGTTATTCCATTTTCCTGCTACTGAACCATTAGTTTGTGATTTTACTGTAGTATGTCCACAATTTCCACCTTTGATAAATTTGTCTTTTTCTACTTCATTTGCGTCAAAATCATTTACAGATCTATATTTGATATTTAAAATATTAATAAATCTCTTACCACATTAAGTAACGATGTCGAGAGCAATATCGATACATCTAAGATAATTAGATATGAGAAAAAGCAATTAATAGTAACACAGACTAACTGCAAAGTATTAACAATTTTTTTCATTTACATATAGAGAAATAATTTTTTTATTTGAAGCTGTTATTACTTCAAATACATTAATATACTGTCAATTTCAAAATAATTTATAAAAATAGTTAGATGGAAACATTATTTCAAATTATCCCATTATTAATTTACTCACAAATAAAATTTACACAACCCTAATATATACACATATAACTCACCCAACTCTTTCAATGATTTGCATATCATTGTGATTAACAGTATTTCCATTTGTATGTATAAATCTTTTATCATTTTTATCAGATTGTGATACATTTGTTACATTATGCTTATTATGCTGCTCCTCTTGCTTTTCACCTTTATCTAAGGACTTTCTGTGATTATTTTTTGTTGTAACATTTTGATTTTGTGATGTAATTTGAGTACCTATATGTAAACTACCATTTTGTACACCTGTCTCTGCAGAAATATTACTGTTTCCTACAATGTATTTAATTGTTAAATTGTGCAGTAATTATTTTCATTACTATACACACGCGCGCAAGTACGCGCGCGCATACACACGCACAAAAGTTGAAAATAAATACGAACTACCTCTACTTTTTTCAGGACTTGGATTGCACTGCAGATTTAATTTATTATTTTGTGATTTAACATGTTCTAATGATGTGGTAATATGTGCTTGTGATTGTACTTGTTGAATTGGTTGCATTGCAGTGGAGGTTTGTTGCTCTAAAGGCAGTGCTTGCTGCAATAATTGTAGATAGAATTCGTTTTCTTTTGCTACATCTTTTTGCTTTCTCTGGCAAAAGAATATTTGTATATATAAGAACTGTAAAATCATTCGTTAAAATGTTATATATTTTCTAGTGTTTTACCTGTCTCATTCTGTAGCCAATGTAACTTTTAAAACCAAAACCTAATGTAACTACAGGGTAACCAATGCTGAAAGAAACAAAATATTTTTAATCATTTTGACAATTACTTGTATTCAGTATTACTATTAATATTATTAATTTATCATTTTTTAAAATATATATACAAAAATATAAATTAATGACTTAGGTATACATTATTTTAATAAATTCTTATTATTACTTGCTATAAAAACAGACGAAGAGAGGAACAATAAAAAAGAAGTATATACCAATGTGCTGCAAATGGTCGACAGAGATCCAAATGAAAAGGCATATGTCGTAAATCTCTTAATCGAACTGCTGCCTCTATGTATAGAAATAGTAACCATAGCATCACAGTTGGTAGGCATACACCTTTATCTGTTTCATATACATTATGTATGTTACTTACGTTATTTATTAACTTACACAAATAATTTAAAATAAAGAGTTTATATTTACCTGTATGCCAAACATATTGTACCCAAACATAGGTGCTGGCAGCAAAAAATAACCAATGTATTGGTATGAAAAAGAAACAAATCATATCTGATGTAAGCGCAATACAAATAAAAAATACAGAGAAGGCCTGAAAATGCAATAGCTCATGTTATTCCAAAATTGAATACAATTTATTGCACAAAAAAATATTTTTCAAAACATACATTACTTACCAAGCCTTGATATTTAAAAGAATCGTAAACGCTTCTGAGAAGTAGCCAAAATGGCCACAAAAATTCAAAACGGAATTCTAAAATGAAGTCTGCGAAAATTACCATGGCCCATAGTAGAAGAAATTTTAGATAAAGTAAAGTACTGAAATAAAAGATTTTATTATTTCATTACTTTGTTTTTGTGTGAAAAATATGTGCATTATTAACCTCAACAAATTAAAAGTTAATATTTTTTATGTGGTAAACTGTAGTTACATCTCTCAGACCCAATAAATCTAAAGTTCTTTGTACAAAATTTTTAATATTTAAGTACAAAGTATTACATTGAAAATTAAACTTAAAACTAAAGTATTACATTGAATTATTTTATTATTCTTTACTGCAACATAATTATATAATATATATACTGAGTTTTCAGTTAAGAAAATGAAAAAAAAAATATACTAAAATACTTTCAAAATAAACAAATGTGTCAAAAAAGTAAATACTATAATAACAAGGTATACATTTTCAAACAAATCATAATAATAAATTAAGGATAAAGTCATTATAATAAACCTTAATTACATAATTACACAATGTAAACGAATGGTAGTTAAAAAAAAGTATAAATAAATCAAAGTATCTTGAACTTCCAAATTTTTGTAACAGCTGCAAATTAAAACTGTTCAATATCACATTGTATATTAGTTAACAAGGTGTAATTTAAGTTGAATAAGAATAAGAAGATAATTGAACAAACGTTTTTATAAAAACAGGCACACATGGTCAAGGTTTTGGCAAATGTCAAGTTATATCACGCAGCTTCTGGAAAGCGGTTGACGATCATATACTGACACGATGTATCACGGAGACTTTCACATTTGACAAATCGAAAAACTTAACAACATTTGCTAGAATGATTGAGAATATTCAAAAGAAGGATTCGCTAAATTGATGGTTATTTTTAAAATTAGCCGTTCCAACGAGGAGACATATGGCGGCCAAAATTTACCTTCCGTAGATTCCCTCGGTGAGCTTGTTGCGTTTCAAGGGCCTCCGAAGCTTACCGCACTCGACATTTCTTCTCTTCATATTCCTTGACACTTTCACCACAACCAAAGCGACGTTATTCGCGGTGAGTAACAGAACGGAAAAAACCGCAAATCTCCTGCGGAGTCGTGAAAAAATCCACTGTCTCGCGCGCGACTTCTATCAGTCTCTTTTGTTGTCATTCGTCTGCGGACAGATTCGAGGTTTTACGGCGGTTTACCAAACAGTTGATTGGTCCATTGTCAGACATGGCGCTAATCAGCAGCAAAAATCACCTGCTGGAATATTTATTCCATGATGTACTTAGAAATATTGTGTATATATTCGTTCGTGCTCCTTGACGAATAAATCCGTATGTCGAATTGTCGAACAATTTTTCCAGGAAAGCTTTCCAGATTATAGGCTTTATCGATCGTACATGCTTTCGATTGTACCGTAGGTCAATCGACTTGTTTCACTTACGTTAACAGCGCTCTGACCTAGCGATATACGAACTATCTTTGTCTCTCTCTTTTACTTCCACCATATCTCTTTTATTCCTCTTCCCTTCAGTCCCCCTATCAATTTAATTTTGTAAAAGTAATAAAAAATCATTTTTATTAATTTATCTATTATTTTTTAATTGTGAATTAGTGTTAAGATTACTACTAACAAGCATATTTAATGTTTTCCGCTCTTACTAGTGATTAGTAAAGGAATGTAAATACATTGGCACAAAAGTAAGTACTTATATATCACAGTATGTATCTAATGTCATACCATATTGGACAAAAACTTTAACTACTATTTTACTTATTCATTTCAGCATTGTGCTAATGTTAAAGGAATAATTTATAATTTTAATATCACATATAAAATTTGTGATATGGATGGAGCAATAGTGTTACTTTTCATGTATTGCATTGGTTGGGGAGTTATAATAGGACTGTATTTACAAATAACAAATGATAAGAATGCAATTTTTATACAAAATTTAGTCTTGATTACAAGTTTTTATATTGTAATACTTAAGATTACAGATATTTTATTAAAGTTATATCAAAATGCTTACAATGCAAACATAACAATTAAAACAAAAAATCTCTTTAAATTTGATGCAAGCACATTAATTTTTAGCATTCATTTAATTATTTTTGTAATATTTATCATTATTAAGCATGAATATGTTTATAACTACATACAGAGACTTGATATATTAACATGTACAATTGGTATATTAATATCATGTATATCATTGAGAGTTATAGATTTGAATGAACAGAAAAAAGAAATTACATGTGATATTAATTTAATGCAAGGCTTGGATTATGGATCTTGCATGGCATATAGCTATTATTATGGATATTTAAGGCTTGTACTTCCATCAACAGGTTCTCTTAATAAAGGACTAATAGAAAAAATAGAAAACATTGAGGATATTCATAGTATAAAAATAAATATCCATAAACTATTGATTTTAATTCCTTCATCATCATATATTCCACCAGACCTTAAAGATGCTTCACATCAATGGATGGAAAGTGCAATGAATTTGGAAGTTGAAGAACGCAATCGAGCAGGAGTTAAAGGAAGATTATATCATAACAGTGTGTATAAAATTTATCCTGATGGACCAAAATCAAGGTCCAAACCTTTATATATAGTGGTGGAAGGTGCTTCACCTTTACAAACTTTCTACGAAGTTCAAAAACATGCTCACAGCGAAACAAATCTTTACAAAAAATATTGTAAAGATATTATAAAAAAGTTTTATGAGAAGTTAAAGCAGTTAATGGATAATGATCCAGAGTGTAGAGATCTTTATGAATTAATTTATTACAATGATTATGACAGTAATGGAGTTAAAGTTAATGTTGCAAAAGTTATTTTAGGCAGGCTGTCTAAAATTAAAAATTCGAATGTAATAAATAATCTAAATTCTACATTTTAAATATTTTAAGAATTAAACAGTAATAAAACATTAATTATATCATTTTTCCATGAGGCTGCCTTCTTTTGTGTTTAGGACATATACATATGAACTGTCCTACGCTGAGAAGATGACGAGCGGAATAAAGTCAGATCACATGCATTTTTACATGTATATTTTGAAAGACTGTGTAATAAGTAAATGACAATGTTCATATGACAATAGTTATAATTGTAGAAATATTAAAAAATAAATTAATACATTT